TCAGGGATGGAGACACCTGCCTGCCCTAATGTTAAACCTTGTTTCCAGACCGACCACTTGAGCCTTTTCCACTCCCTTTTAAAAAGGAGGAGACGGTACGTCTTAAAATCCAAATTTGTCTCCGTCCCACACAGAGCCGGTGTTCTCATTTCCATTAGTGTCATCTATTTACCTGAGAAATGCTTGGTGAGGAAATTGAGGTTACTGAGAGGAAAAAAAAAGTTACATTGGACACAAATCCCTGGGGTGTGTGTTGCCGTGCGCCCTATTCCAGACCTTGCCCCACATTTGAAGTAGGGCGGACTGCAATTAAAACACAAAGCAAACAGAAAACGCCATTGACCCTTCAATGCGAGCCTAAGGTAGGAAGTGGCTGTGCTGAAATATTCATTAATTTACTCAAGGTCACTCTGGAAGCTAATGGTTGAGCAGGGAGCTGTGCTGGGCATCAGAGGTCTTTCCCCCAGAACTGTCCTTGTTCCACCTCTAACTTGGCGCTGGCGGTGTAAAAGACACCAGCTTGGAGACTCGCAGTTATTGCCTCTGCCAGCGTGCCCACCAACAAATCACTCCTACTTGTGAACAGCAGCCACTCCAGGGCTACCAGGAATCAGCCACAGAGGCAAAGCTGCTGTGCTTTCAGTCCCAGGCACAGAGAATACAAGGTGCAAAGTACTCAGGCGTCCTGCCAAGCTGATAGCACACCTCAGGCCTAGAGAGTGTTAGAAAAGTGTTAAAAAGCATTAGGAATCAGCTTCTATCAACCCTTGCCAGGCTCGCTTTCAGTTACAGGCACAGAGATACAAGGTGCAAAGTACTCAGGCGTCCTGCCAAGCTGATAGCACACCTCAGGCCTAGAGAGTGTTAGAAAAGTGTTAAAAAGCATTAGGAATCAGCTTCTATCAACCCTTGCCAGGCTCCGAACAAAAGCAGAGGGGCCTCCTTTCATGTCCGTTGTTTCTAGCCCATCTTTGTGCATTCAGCATGTGCCTGCAGCCACCAAGAGGTTTGCTACCAGCGCTCAGCCCTGTGTCTTCGGAGACGTACCAAGAGGAGCTCAATTTAAAAGCTCTTCTCTGCTGGGCAAGGAGAACAGTGAAAAGCCCAAGCTGCATCGAAAGGAAAGCAGCCCTTTGGGCCAGGGCTTATTCTGCAGAGACACCTGCTGGCAACGGGAGCTGAGCTCAGGGATGCACTCGTCCTCCTTCCGTGGAAGCCAAATAGAAATACAAGTGTAACAGAGATGCAAGGGGAATCCAGGGGAAAAGGTTCACGTTCCCAAGGTGGAACCCAAAGCAAGAGCACGCTGCAAATCTCCACGTGTGCCCAGCCCCAATCCCAACTCCCCGGCCCCTTGTGCTGAGCAGCCTTTCACAGCCCAAGACCAGGGCAGGTCACAGGAGTGGCAGCACCTGACCGACACTCAGCAAGGAAGTGGCACAAGACCCGCAGCCTAATATACCCGAGAGGTTTGAGCTTGTTCAAGCATAACCAGTTTTCAGCTGCCCTCCCTGCCACTCTCTGATCTTAGGACAGGCAGAGAAACCCCAAATTCCCAGTAGGTGTGCACTAAATCAAAGTAAGGTGAAACGGGAGCACGCACAGAGGCTAGATGGGCTGGCTCGAAATCCTGTCAGGTTCTAGGCAGGAAAAATCTAGGCATGAAGCTACATGTTACATGCAAGGGCACGCACACTCGTGAGGAAGGACATTGGCAGAAATCCTGGCAATCAGTGACGAGGAAGCATGTGCCTATAAGATATTTTAACCCCTGTCAACTCTCTGGGAAAGCAGATTGAGGCCAGCTTCTCCTTCCTTTGCACAAGATGTGCTGGCAGGAGGTTTGAATAACAGCTATTCAAGTGAGAAGAGAACAGGACACCCCTGGGACTAAGCTAAAGCTCCAAATTGGTGCTTCGGGGTTTGTTTTCTTCTCTTGTCACAGGAGGATGCTCCGTTTGCTGCATTTTCTCCTTGCTAGCACTCTTCTGCAAGTAAGGCTTAAAGGAGAACACAAATCACCCCTCAGCCAACACTCGGGCTGTGACTCAGTGTCACATCTCCATCGCTATCACCAGCCTCAGGACCTGCCATCCTTTCCAATCCTGACCTTCATCTCTCTGTCCCATTGCTGCAGTCCACTGTGTGACTGTTTGTGGGACAAGTTCCCTCCGCTGTCCCTGTGCGACTGTTTGTGGGACAAGTTCCCTCAAGCAAGCTCAGGGAAAGGGACAGACAGTCTGCACCAGCGTGGAGCAGCAGCAGCGGGCAAGAGCTGGAGGTGTTGTCCCTTTGCAGGAATCTCAGTGATTCCTGGCAGCTTTGGAAAGGATGTAAAGGACAGGCTTAGTAGATCTTGTGGAAAACAACTCCATGGTTTGGGAGCAACCAGAGGACTCTGCTTTCTTGGGGTGAAGTGGTCAGAGACCATTTTTGCCGGAATGTAGTCAGAAGAGAAGGAAAAGGCTGTCAGAACAGCACTGCTTCAGCCACTACCTGCATTGACCACGACAGCTTTCCCTCCTGTGGGTGCCATGCTCTGCCCTCTGTCCCTCTGTCCCACTCGCCAAGCCCCTTCCCACGCAGAGACCCACGGGGCGGGCAGGCATGTGCACCTCTGCCCCTGCACGCACCCCAGCTCCTCTCCCTGACCAGCAGCCTGGGAGTCCCCCACTGCCACTCCCACAGCAACCCCGGTGAGACACACTTGTAAAGGTTAACAAACGTGCCAACACCACAAAAGCAGAGCAGGTGCTGTGCCCTTCCGCTCCCCCTTTGTCCCAGCTCCTATCACTCTTCCTCCTTCCGTGGCAGTGCACACCCAGCTGGCAGCAGCCTGCTCCTGCCCGTGCTGAGGGTGTTTGGGGTGCAGGCAGAACCCGGCTGACCTCTCTAAGTGAGCCCACCTTGCTCGCTCCTCGGGGCTGGGGCTCAGCGGCTT